TTCGCTGATATTCACTGATTAGCCGGCCCTGTCAAAACGATAACATTTTATCTGACGGTCAAACACACTTTAGCGGCAGATAGCGCCAGAAGTAGCGCTGAGAGGTCCGTATCAGGCGGTGGGACCGGTATCTGCCCGCGCAGGGTGCAATGACTCGGCAAACTCCGACAGGCCGCCACGCAGGCGTCCGATGTCCGTTCATCCCGCCAGGGAGCGTGCCGCGCGAGTCTCGCTCTAATCACGAGCAACATGTTAACTTAAGCGGCTCGGTGCCACCCAGCTGTCGTGCTATTTAAAAGCTATTACATTGTAGCCAACGTCCGTGGCTTTATACAGATTTTTAAGGACAAGGACGATCCTTTAACAGATATTTGTCACGTTTTAGACGTGGTATGAGCTATTGAATGGCGCGTGGTTGTCTGCAATCTTATTCTTCGCCCCTGATTGAGGGAGGGGGTGGATGCGGTCCTAGTGTTTTCTGAGCACAACTCTCCGACGGGTCGTAAAATCGCGCCCAAATTTTCGCTAGCCTCTGAGGCATCCATTGCGCGTGCATTTGCACCTAAACGTGTCTCTGGTGTGCTGGGTTTATGCGTATCGGCGGATTTCACGGAGACCGCACGGTGTCCCACGGCGGCACGGACGCTGAGTGACCGCCAACCAATCCGCCAGTGACGCGCGGCTGGCCGATGCCGCCGCATTAGCGGAGCTCTATAGCCCATACATGTAGGCTCAAACCTATCAAACTGCACATCAATGTGCTCAGAACCAATCAGGGGTCACCTCTGTGTAGGTTCTATGTTGCTACGTGGCATGCTTTTCTACATATTGGTACGCAAACCGAAATACTACAATACGATATTAGTATTACTATATCATTAGTATATACTATAACACGATTTTCAGCAAAATTGACATTGTGACCTTGCCCGGCAGGGTCACTTTTTGACTTAGCGACATAAGGCAATCAATCGCGAGATCACGTTGACACCAATCGACTGTCTAATTCTGCGAGGTTCTTTCGCTCCTCATTAGGAAACCGCAGTCGGGTTACGTCGCCTCCCTTCTCGCTATCAGTCCGCGTTGTGAAAAACGGCGAATCAGGGCGGAGGTTAACAAAATGTAGTGTTCCATTTTATTAATACAGAAAATATCAAGTTGCAAACGAATTACCGAGCGCGGGTCAAGCTCAGCTCCGGAGCTGGACGACCCGGCGTCGAAGCGACACCAGACCGGCCCGTTCAGCCGGAAATCCAGGCCAGAACTGGACGACCCGGCGTCGAAGCAACACCAGACCGGCCCGTTCAGCCGGAAATCCAGGCCAGAGCTGGACGACCCGGCGCCGAAGCGACACCAGACCGGCCCGTTCAGCCGGAAATCCAGGCCAGAGCTGGACGACCCGGCGTCGAAACGACACCAGACCGGCCTGTCCAGCCGGAAATCCAGGCCAGAGCTGGACGACCCGGCATCGAAGCGACATCAGACCGGCCCGTTCAGCCGGAAATCCAGGCCAGCAGCAATGGATGGTCCAGCATTAACGCCACAGCCCGGTAACCAGAGCAGATAAGGACATGAGAGCGACTGCACGGTGTAGACGAACGCCCCGTCTACATGGCACTACAAGATGTCAGATCTAGCACACTCACAGGTATGTTAGGCGATCGGGAAGCGGCCAATGTCAACTTTACCAAAATCGGCCGCGCCCAAGGTCCTCGATTTCGTTGGATAAAATCGTAAAACCCAGTTGGCCAAATTGCAAGTCATGTTAAAAGTACATTGAAACACGAACGCTACAGATCAGCGCACCACCTTAGCCTGCTAAACGCATAAATACGGCATTGTCCGATGTCGCATATTTGGAATCGGGTACTGGGTTGTTGATCGCAATCCAAGGTTGAAACATTCCGTTGATAACATCCATTTGCATCGGTTTTCATTGACGACTGTCTTCATGGCCCTTGCTATCATCTGGGGGATCCTCTGATTTCGGTCCTTTGATTCCCACTACGATTTTGAGATTTACAGGGCCAACGCCGTCGTTTCTATGGCTTACGCTGACCGGCGCAACGAGCGCTTTCTCTTTAAATACAAGAGTTCAGAAAAAGTTAATCGTGCTCTGAAGATGGGAAAAAAGGGATACGTTGGATGATAACTTGCATGCTTCGTAGATCTGAATGGCATGCTACATAATAAGATGGATTCAAGCAGCTTTACATGAGCGAATGAAGTCGAGGCGATTCATTTGAACACATAAACAGTTTTTGTGCCAAAACGGATACAGGAGAATACCGTTATGGGAGGGGGACAGACTTCACCTCCGCTTGAGTGTCTTATCAGCCTTGCTCAGCTTGTCCAAAGACGGCCATAATTATCAAATGGAGTGAGAATTGAAAGTTTTAAAATACAAATCGCCTCAAGCCGTCAGTGACAGACTTAAATATGCCAAGAAAAGTGTAAAGATGGAAGTTATTGAGTGGCTTTCTTGAGACCCTCCACCATG